ATAGAACTACATAAGAGTGAATTGACTTGTGGTCGATGGGTTAACATAATTACATATTCTGGACATTTAAATAAACACTTTTGCTTTTGATTTTTTTGGGGGAAAAAAACCAACAAAGAAGCAAGCCAGACTTTAGGAGAACACTAATCATTTAAGTGTTATTCTGTAATTTACAGGTAAATAGCCTTGGGAGGGTCATTGATTTACTTGATTTTACTCTGACACTTGAGGACAGAACTGAGATTTAGCACAAGTTTCTGAACTTGTTTTGCTGCCACAACCATGATAATTTTGGGGAGAGGCCTGGTTTTACCAAATATTTCATGTTTTCAGGTTTGTGTGTGTGTGTTTATTTATTAACTATTATACAGTAGATGTTTTATACACAATTCAGCATGATGCCTTTATCTTGCTAGCCCTAAGCATTACATCTTTAGCAGTTATAAAAGGACAAATTATCTGTTCTTTTATCGCAGAATTTGCATTTCAGGGAGTCACATAATAAAATACAAATACATTATGGATTAACTACATGGTGATGTAAACCCTAAATTTGGAGAACCTAAATTCCATTGAGAAATTAGAGAAACCTCTTTTTGAGATGCATCAAACAAAAATTTGAAGAATGAACTTAATTACGTTAAGGATATTTAGCATGGCTCTAGGACAAGAAGGAAGATTGGCAGATTTGGCCTGCTGGCATACCAGTTCTTAGAAAAAGACATCGTGGCGGGAAAGGTGGAGAGTCAGAGAAACTGAAGATCCTCAACAAGATGGATTGACAGAGTGACTAGCAGTGAGCTCAAAAATAGCAGAGATGATAAAGATGGCACAAAACAGGGCAGGGGCAGGTCTGTTGCTCTTAGGGTCACTGTGAGTTAAAGTCAGCTTGATGGCACCTGACAACAGCTAAAGCTGATGTGACTGGAGAGTTAGAGCTAAATATATGTAGATGGTATTAGGGAATTTGTTTTGGTTTTTACACCACTTAATTAACGTAAAGGGAGCTCTAGTCTGTAGGGGGTTGTATTATTAACCCAAAGACTGAGTATTTTTGGTAGTGTGAATTCACCATTGACCCTGAGAGAGAAAGATGGGCAGTCTCCTCCCATTTTACAGTTGACAGCCTCAGAAACCCAGTGGGTTTCCTGTGGATAAGCTATGACTTGGTCCAATCTGTTGGCATGGAGGTGGGTTTTTCGTTTGTTTGTTTGTTTTTAGTGAAAGTAGACATTACCTACAGAAAAGCCCGCAAGTGAATACCTTAATGGAGTTTCACATAATGCACATGCCTGTGTATTGAGTTCTTAGCTCAGAAAACATTGAGGCACCTTGGTGCTCTCTGGTACTCTCTCCCAGCTGCTTTCCTGTCTTAATATCACAGTGTAGGCTACTTGTTGTTTTGGTTTTTTTTTTAAATTTGTTTAATATAAATAGCATCACACAGTATTCTTTTTGTGTGTGGCATTGTTCATTGAATATTGTATATGTGAGATTTATCCTTGTATGTAGTTGTATCTCATTTCTGTTCAGTATTTCTATTTTATGACTATGTAACAACATTTAGAAATAATTTCTCTTGATGAATGGTAATTGTACACATTGACCTCACCTAATGGACTACACAGTGATGATTGACTCCATGTGTTGAAATTATGCTCATGAGAAACCTCTACTCGGTAAAGAAACAGTTGTCTGAGCACAGTGCGTGGTTTAAAATCAGAAAAGCTGTATGTCAGAGTTGTATCCTTTTTAAATACCTATTCATTCTGTGTGCAAAGCAAATCATTTGAGAAACTGGACTATATGAAGTAGTATGTAGTAGCATCAGGATTGAAGGAAGACTGATAACATCCTCCCTTATGTATATGACACAATCTTGCTTGTAGAAAGTGAAGCACTTGTTACAGAAGATAACCTATACCCTTCAATCTGGACCAATAGGCATCATCATGATAAAATGAAGAAAAGATTGAAGTAGTCAACAGTTTCATTTTACTTGGATCTACAGTCAACACCCATAGTAACAGAAGTCTAAAAATCAAAAGTCATGTCGCATTGGAAAAAAATGCTGTCAGGGACCTTTCCAAAGTGATATTCAGCAGAGTTGTCAGTTTAGAGACTCTGGTGCACTTACTCAGTTGCTTCCTATGCATGTGAACACTGGACCATAAATAAGGATGTTAGAAGAAGAATCAATGCCTCTGAATAGTGATATTGATTGTGGAGAAGAGAATGGAATATCCCATGACCTGTCAAAAAGACCAAACAAGTCTGTCTTGGACAGGATGCTCTTTAGAGGCAAGGATGATGAAATTTGTCTCACATATGTTGGAAATTTTGTCAGGAAGGGCCAGTCCTTGGAGGGAAAATCATACTGGAAAAGATGGAGGATCAGCAAAAGAGAGGAAGACTGTCAAGATGAATTGACAGTGTTAACAGTGACTGTAACAATGGACTTGAGCATATCAGATATAGCAAAAATGGCACAGGCTAGGGCAAGATTCAGATTTGTTTTCATAGGGTTACTGTGTGTTGTAGTAGACTCAAAGGCACCTAGCAACAACTTGTTGAATGAAAATTGTGCCACAAGCATGTGTAGGAGTTTTTAGGAGTTGGTTGGATTATATACCTCATCAACTTTGTCATATAATACCACAAATTTCTAAAGTAGTTCCACTTTAAACTCTTTAATCAGCTTGTTTAAGGATTTTAAGCAGAAAAATTTATGATTGGATTTGTGGTTTTAAGAGATCTGAGTCTTATAAAGAGCAGGGACAAAAGGAAGTAGGGAGACTATAGGAGAAACTGTTTTTAAATTGGTAGAAGACTGAAGGACTCAGTGACAAAAATGAGCCACTTCCAATGTACCTGGTATCAAATGGGAGAACAGTGGTGGTTCAGTAGTAGAATTCTCATTTTCTATGTAGAGACCCAGCCTGTGATCCTTGTCCCCACCAGATTATTCCTGGAAGCTTGTGTGTTGTTGTGATGCTGAATGGGTTTCACTGGAGCTTCTAGACTAACACGAGAAAGTAAGGCCTAGTGAACCCATTCAAAACCTTATGGATTCCAAAGGTTCAGTCTAAAACCAATCTTGAGAATGGGTACAAAGCTGGAAGCATTTTATTCTCTTGTACATGGAGTCACCAGGAATCAAGAGCCTAAATTCCAAGGTAGCCAGCATTAATGCTTAATATTGGGGTTGTTAATGAGTTCTATATTATTCTTACCAAATAATATATTTGGGCATTGATATGCAATTGCTCCCTTATTACATTTGTCCTCAGAGAGAGAGAGAGAGAGAAAGAGAGAGAGATATTTGCGTTTAAAATTAGACAGCTGGACTCAGTTTAGATGATCCCAATTTATTTTTTTTTTTATTGTAAAAAACGTGTATGAGCACCCAAGGGGGTAAGGAGGGTTGTGAGCAGAAGAGTGAGGATGGGTAGGAATGAAATCACAGGGTTTCACAATTTGGTGGGTGGAGGGAGTGGGTGAAGGAAATGAGAAAGATCCAGCAGGGACCAGAAAAGACAGGGTAATGGTGGACATGGTCCAATGGTGATTAAATTTTTCTTTTTTTTAAACAAAGAAGTTGTCTTTCATATGTGGGTTTCTCTTTTGGGAATGGATCATAGACTCTCTGGCTGCTTCATGCTGAACAGGGATGTTGAGATAAAAGGGAAGGGGAGCCTACTTTAACACTTTACTGGTGGTCTTGAGTTGAAGCTGCATACCTTCTTGTTCAGTTAGAAGATATTTTCCTGATATTTTCAGCCCTCTGGACTGCAAAGTGTTTGCCTGGGTGAGTCCAGTAGGGATGGCTGACTGAACTTTGAGGCTCCATCCAACTTCTTTAGCTGGCAGTTATATTTCCCTTTTGACTCTGGAACTGGGCTCAGGGGTCAGGTCTGGAATAAGACTCAGAGTTCAGTTTACCTATAAGAAAAGGAGCAAATTTAGAGAGAACAAACTTGTGGGTTACGAAGAGAAGGGCTTTGGAGATGTTACTTACAGATGTACTGGAGGAGGAGATGGAGGAAAGTAGCTTAGATAAAATGCCTCATACATACCAGGCAGCATTCCCCAGGGGCCGGCTGGGCGGCTCTCCCCACTCTCATGATCCCAGTTTTGTTGGCAATATCCAAAGCATCATAGTCAGCATCAAGTTGAACATAAGCCTTCTTCTCTCCATCAGGCCTAATCAAGTTAGCCGTATCAAAGTCATAGAGCTTCTTTATAGCTTGTTTGATTTGGTGCTTGTTGGTCTTAACATCTACAATGAACACAATTTTGTTATCTTTTATCTTCTTCTTGGCCAACTCAGTGGTCAGGGGAAAGTTGATGATAAGATAGTGATCAAGCTTGTTCTCCTGGGGGCAATCTTCCAGGAGTATTTGGGACCACTTCGGAGTCTCATTGTCTTAGGCCATCCAGAAGCTGGGTGATATGCATGTGGATTTTTTTTTTTTTTTTGGTGACTGGGGTAATTGGGGTGAATGTGTTGGAGACATTGTGATTGGCACGGGATAGAGCAAGATTTAGGGCTGTTGTACATAGGGTCACTTTGAGTCGCAAGCAACTCAATGACACATAACAACAACAACAACAGTTTTACTCTAAGGATGTATACTTTTCCTAGAACTGTTCTAGTACTAGTCTTTACAGTAAAATAACTTGGTTTGTATAAGTAATTTGGATTGATTTAATAAGTTCTGTTATAGTGAACGAACCTCACAGATGTTAAGAAATAACTTAGACAGTTTTGTCATATATGTTAGTATATGATTATTTATAGTTATTACCTATGAAACTAATAATTATGTGTTCAAATTTGTTTAATTTTTATGTATAATTTGATAGACATACTCTCAGTCCCTTGAGAACTTGTGAATTTCTAGTATGTTTAGTTGCAAGGCATAGGGAGTGAAACTTGAATTACCAAATGTAGGGACTAAATAATTTTGATAATTATGAACATTTTTCTTTTATTTCAGAGTTTTCTTGGTGGCTTTTTTGGTCCCATTTGTGAAATCGATGTTGTCCTTAATGATGGGGAAACCAGGAAAATGGCAGAAATGAAAACTGAAGATGGTAAAGTAGAAAAGCATTATCTCTTCTATGATGGCGAATCCGTTTCAGGAAAGGTAAATCCTTTTGTTGGACAATGACCTAATTTTAAGACTATAATTAATCATCATAGTGGTCTTTGATGTTTTGCTTAAATTTGAATTATTTTATTAGTGATGAAAATTTATTTCTGAAGGTCAACTAAATCCCTGATTCATTAGAACGTTAGCAGAAACAGTTCTTAAACTAGGAAGGTAGTCAGAGGCAAGATCCTTGTACTCTTGAAATTCCTGCAAAATGCAAGTATAACTGTACAACTCTAGCTTCTGACAAGGTTGTCTGTTGTGACGCTAATCCACACAGTATTTGTTCATTTTTAGCATAAAACTGAGGATGCAGAAGTTGTTTTCTAAAGGGTTCTTTTTTATCATATGCTTTACTGTCTTGGTGCTCAACAGAGGATTTGAGGCTATTTGCAGTATATTAGGTCAGATACAATTATGATACCTTCTGTATAACTTTTCCTCTCCTTATCTAGTTATATTTATAAGATTATTATTTTACCTTAAGGAATATAATCAATACTTGTTAGTATTGAATAGTAATATGGACAAATCTATTAAATATTTGAAATAATTTTAAAAATTTAAGGCATCAGTGTTTTTCACTCTTGCTTTTTTAAAGTAATATGGTAGACATGGTAAATAGACCTGTCCTGTCATATCGTATGGAGATAATTCACTGTTAAAATTTTAATTGTGTTTCCTTTTAATTTCACAGCATAGATTAGTGTTTACATGTGTTTAGTATATAGGGATGATAGAAAGAGAATTGATGCCTTTGAGCTGGAGAAGAGTGTTGAATATACCATGGTTTGCTAGGAGAACAAACAGGTTTGTCCTGGAGAAGGTGAAGCCAAATGCTCCTTGGAGTCAAGGATTCTGAAGCTTCATCTGATATACTTTGGGCATGTTGCAAGGAGGGACTGGTCCTTGGAGAGGGACATCATGTTTGGGAGAGTGGAGGGATGGTGCAGGAGAGGAAAGACCTTCGATGAGCTGGATTGATTCTGTGGTTGGGGTGGTAGGAATGAGTGTGTTGGAGATGAAGCGGTTGGCACAGGATAGAGCAGTGTTTGGGGCTCTTGTACATAAGGTTGCTGTGAGATGGCACATAACAACAACAACATCAATTTCCTTATTGCTGAATAGTTAAATAGTTAAATAGTTTCTATTTTCCACACTGCTGCTTCTATAGTATATGTGATGTAGTTCTTCTGTACGGATATTTTCTATAAAAAAAATATTTCTGGACGTGAGTTGTTGGCCCCAAAACTATGAATATTTTAAGACTCTTGAAGTAATTTATGTGAGTAAATTACTTTCTGAAGTGTTTGCATGATCACCAATAGTGCCTTGTTTAACCCTTACTCTAACTGTAGTATGCAAAAAAGTTTTGTTGTAGTATGCAAAAAAGTTTTGTATTAATTTGTTTCTTTGGTTACTAGATAGGTTGATTTTACAGATTCTCTTTTATTACTTGGATTATATTTAGATGCTTTGCCAAATTACCTGTTGGCCTCATTCATGTATCATCCAAAACAAAATTAAAAAAAAAACAACCCACACAACATTATCGTGCTTTAGGTGACAAGGTCACAAAGGAAAAAAAATTGCCTGTTTGGTGGTTTGTTCATGGTGTTTCTCCACATTGGTTGCTTTCCCCAGCAGCGTAGCAGCACTCTCTCCATTGCCACCCTGGGTTCCCCATTTCCTTTCTTGTGAATTTCTACTCCTTCCTACCTTCTCATCTTTACTTTCAGGGAGAATGTTGTCCTTTTTAAAAACAATTTCTTTGTGATCAAAGTGAAAGTTTAAAAAACAAATTATTCATTCAACCATTTATAAACATTTTCTTCTAGAACATTAATTTTAGTACTCAACATATGATTGCACTTTGCCATTTTCCTCTCTATGATTTTAATTTTCAACAATTTTTCTATACCTTGCTCTCTTTTTCCTTCTTTGCGATACTAGGTAAATTCTCTCTCTATTGGATTTGCCTTTCCCTGCACCCATTTTAATATTTATCTATTACCTGTTTATTAATCTTTGCTCCCCTTTTCTTTCCCATTTCTGGTACCTATCTAACAAGGAATTTTTTTTTATGTATTAGCCTTTCTTTAGTTTTTATAATAGTATTCTTTTTTAAAAAAAGTATTATTTTTTGTGCGTGTACCGACAAATCGGATCTGACTGTTACAGCAGGAGATTGATGATGACCCTCCTTCTCCAGCAGAGCATCTGGTGGATTTGAACCATGTACCTCTGGGATTGCAGTGCAGCTTCTTGCCACTAGGCCACCAGAGCTCCCCTAGTTTTTATAGTAGTGTTCTTGTACCTTATATATCTGTCCTTTTATGACTAACTTATTTAACTCTGAGTAATACCTTTGGAGGCAAAGATGATGAAGCTTCGCCTCACATACTTAGGACATGCTGTTAGGAGAGGCTGTTCTTGAGAAGGACATGATGCTTGATGGTCAGTGGAGGGAAGACTCTCAGTTAGGTCGATTGACACACTGACTACCACTTTGAGCTCTAGTGTGTCAGGAAGTGTGATGATGGCACAGGAGAGGACATGTTTCAGATCTGTTATTTATGGGGACACTATGCATTGTCCTCCACTCGCTGGCATCTAACAACAACAGCAATGCTCTCTTGATGGTTCCTTATTATACAGTGAGTATCAGTCCTTTTGATCTTATATAATTGATTATTCAAGGTACATGCTCCTTTCAAGTGTTGCTGTTTATTTTATGGGCCTGTCTATTGTTTGGTTGAAAAGTGGTCTTTGGAATGGCTGCAGTTGCAGGTCAGTAGAGTATTTTAGAGCCGTAATCATGGGTGTGAAACAAATTTACTAGTTTTCAATTCTATTCCCTTAATCTTTGTTTAAAAAAGATTAAACAGGAGGAGGAGAAGATGAAAAAAGATGAACTATAATTATCTTTATTTAAATAATTGATTATTTGTTGTTGAGAATATACACAAGCAAAACAGTACAGTAGTTCAAGTTTCTGTGAATGCATTTCCATGACATTGATTATATCCTTCAAGTTTGTGTCACCATTTTTATTTTATTTTTATTATTAAATTTTATTAATTTTAATGAACATTTTCAGAGATTTTGGGTTTTCATTCATTCATTGTTGCACTGTTTTCTCTACCCTCCTCCCCAGTTTGTTCTTCTTTTTCCCCCCCCTTGAAAGTCTGTTTTAATTGTCCAATTGCCACAGTTGGTTTTGGTAAGAGGAATGTTGTAAATGTGGATACATTACCACTATTCCTCCTCCGTGCCACGATATAGTGTTATTAGCATGAGCAGTTATAAATCCATTGCCGTCCTTACTCTAACTTAATTCTCTTTTCTTAAATTTAAATTTGTTATTAATTTCAGTAATTTACAGAGGCTTTGGATTTCCATTCATTTATTGTTGCATATTTGTCCCCTCCCTAGGCTCCCCCCCCCCCCGCTCCCCAGAACACTACCCTCTTGGGAAAGTAAAAGAAAAATTCTTTCACTGTTTTACAAACCCTCCCCCAGGTCCACTCCACCATGCAGCCATCGCTCTAGACTCCTATCATGTCAGAAATACCTAATCACATATCTCTTCCAAACAGTTCTCTCCCTCCTCTGTTTCAGTGCAGTATACATTATTGAACCCATCTTACTCAGTCTCTCTCCAACCCCAAGGTCAGTCCTCTTTTACAACAGTGGCACCATGCAATATTTGTCCTTTTGTGACTGTGATATTTCACTCAGCATAATGTTCTCCAGAGTCAACCATTTTGAATAATATTGCATGAGTTCCTTGTTTTTCAATGCAGCATATACCACAGCTTCTCTGTCCATTCGTTTGTTGATGGGCACTTAGGTTGTTTCCAACTCCTTGCTATTGTGAACAAAGCCGCAATAAACATGGATGTGCATATATTTGCTTGGATGTCAGTTATGGTCTCTTTGGGGTATATTCCCAGTAGTGGAATTGCTGGGTCAAATGGTATCTCTATTTGCAACTTTCTGAGAAAGCGCCATACCACTTTCCACAGGGGTTGCACCATTTTACACTCCCACCAGCAGTGAATCAGGGTTCCAGTTTCTCCACAACCTCGCCAGCATTTGTTGCTTGCTGTTCTGTTATATTTTACTATTTTGACTGGGGTGAGATGATATCTCATAGTTGTTTTTGTGTCACCATTTTTACCTACCTTTTCCAAACGACCATGGGAGAAAGATGGGCTGTCTCCTCTCATGTGATTTACTGCCTCTGAAAATCCACTAGAATATTAGCTATGGTCAGATCCATCTTGACAGTATATAACAACATCATTTAAGATTTAAATATACTTGATGTATTTTAATAAATTTGTAAATATTATCATCAAAGCACCAGTGGTCCCATATTTGACTAGCAGAAACTTATTTTCTGTATCAGTTTTGATTGCTGAATAACAGACCACCACAAACTTAGCAATATAAAACAATACAAATTTATTATCTCACAATCCCTTTGTCAGGAGTCCTATTTGTATTAGCTGGGTCACTAGGCTGAAATCAGGGTCTTTGTAGACTGTGCTGTAATCTTATTTGAGGTTCAGGGCCCTCTTCCAAAATCACTCATTTTGGACAGAAATAATTTTCTTGCTCATGGTTGGCTGTGGACTGTTGTCAGAGAGGCTGTCCTCAGATCCTCAACACGTGGACCTTTTCTTCTCCTACAGCACATCATTTCTCTGATACTTCATTTTGTTTAAAAAAGGCTTTCTGATTGTATACCATGAAATTTACACTATTAGAAGTGTGCATTCTGGTTTATTTATGAGATTGTACAAACATCACAACTAATTTCAGAACATTTTTTCATCACATCTCACAAATTGCTTGTGTATTTTTGAAACCATCATATTTTTAGCTCTCCTTCCTAGTTATGCTAAAAATTGCTTTTTTGTCATTAACATTTTCATTTTTGCCAACTTTTTTATTAGCTTTCAAATTTTGAGCTTTTTAAATGGTTA